TCCCTGAACTTTCATTCACAAAAAATCAAAATAAAAAAAAAAACAGAATAATAAGAGAAAAACTTTTTTTTTTCATTATCCAAAAGAGCAGAAACCAGGTGGCTGACTGTGTATTGAATAACCAAAAAAAAAAAAGAGAAAAAGAAATTCCTCTGCGGCATAAACACGAATTAAAGAACTAAAAACACAAAATTAATTTTGAAAAGCCTAAAAGGAATGAGCTTTAATGTTAGGGTTCAAATATAACCATTTCTTAATACTAATGCTGTAACCCATATATGTACGTACATTAAATATATATTGAATGTATATAATACACTTTTGTATATATTACATAAATATTCATATCCTTTACTTATAATATACCTTCAATATTTTGGAAAATCAAATAAAATCATATAGAATAATAAGGCATTTTTACACATATGCCAATAAATATATATTATACACGCTATATGTTAAGTGTGTATATATTTTATATACATAAATATATACTGTTATATACAATGTTCATTATCCCGTATATTGTTCCAAAATTTTCTTATATAGAGTTTAATCCATATACGTATATGTATAATGTACATACGTACATACATATTCATATTGTTAGAATTTTAACCTCCCGCAATATATATGAAAGAAATTTCTGTTCTGAAATGGTTCTATTTTTTTGGTCATTTAGTTTTCCAATACATTTTTTCCTCTCACAACACAAAATTAGAAAGAAAAACTGAATAAAAACAGAAAAACACAGCAGGAACCTTTTTGCTTTAAATACATAAACATCAGTTTTTTTTTTGGTCTTGTTTGCTTTATATAATATTGAAAACAACAAAATTCCTAACTTAATAGGATCTAAGGATCTTATGTGTTAAGTTAGAATGAAGCTTAAAAAAAAAAGAGTTTCCTAATAAAATATTGATTATCGAAAATTTTATATCCTTCTTTAACTCCTTTATTTTTCCTATATATTAAAAAAATACAAAGAGAAAAACAAAAAAATAAGGCAATTGAAAATTTTCAATTTCCGGTCTATACATATACATATATGTACATTATATATGTACATATAAAAGTAGACAAAATTATCTATACGTATACATACTTACAATTATGTTTATATAATATAATTATTTTCGTATATGCAGGAAATATTTAAATGTTAAATTTTTTTTTTATATAGCAAAAGCATATTCATATATAAAATTGATATACACAATCGAACCTCGATTTGAAGAAATTCAAAGTGATCGAAATTTTTATTCTAATTAGGAATTTTCTTAAATATATTCAATCCCCGCACCGAATTCTAGTTTGATTTCCTTAGTGTTTTCATAACATATGAAAATTCACAACAATGCCGTTTGAAGAGGAAAAACACAAAATATTAACCAAAAAAATTATTTCGTAATTAATGTTTGAACCAATATGATCAATAAGTAAAAATGCTTAAATTACACTTAATGCTCTTTTAGAAAATTCAAAAAGTCAGAAAAAATTTTTTATTATAAGTTTCCTTCTAGTTCAGGTTCAACTGTATATATTTTATAATAAATATATATACATAGTATGAAATTAAAATAAGGGATTATTTTATGTTAAGGAGAAAGATGATCTGGAGGGTGGGGGGTGTGATAAATTGTTGAAATTAAATTAAAAAGATATTGTATTCCTGGGTATACTATTAAAAAACTTTGAGCCTTATATCAATGCACAATATACAGACATGGATATTAATATGTATTCAAAGGTATAAATATAAAAATATTTAAATCTAGAAAAAAAAGACTGAAGAGTACAATCGATATTAAATAAGAAGTAAAGAAAGAGTAATTTAAATTTCAACATAAAAAAGATCTAGTAAGTCTCATTCAATTTCTTTGTTTTTTTCTTCTTATTTTTTTGACAAAATTTAAGGTCTTTTGTAGAATACCATTTTATAGAAAATTAAATTTTACAATTATTATTGTGGAAAAAAAAATCATAAAATTAAATGTGTTTAATAGTTAATTTCCGTAACAATAGAAATTTATTAGAATTTATTTGGAAAAAAGGATTTTAATAAAAAACCAGTTAAATGAAAAACCATATAGATAACTGTTGGACTTACAAAATTTAAAAATCTCCTGTGGATTCTGTAATTTATATTTAATAATAAAAAGTTTATATATATATAATATATACATATACAATATAATTTAAAGTAATAAAAAATGTCATTAATGAAAATGGCAAAAAAAAAGAAATAGAAAAGAAAAACAAGGACAAGTTGTATTAAAATTAATAGGAAATAAAGTTGAGTCAAAACAATGGTTTATAATGCAGCACTTTTCTCTTCAACAAATGAAAATACTGCTTTTAAAAACAATCTAGCTATGTATCGCATAATTAAAAAAACTTCACTCATATACGAAACTATTTCATTAAGGATTGCATACAGTTACATAATATGCAGTTTTTGAAAAAAAATTTAAAAACTTGTGACGAAATGAACTATTTATTAGTATCTAACAGCTGCTAAAATTTCAGAGTCCATCAACCTGCGGTTTAGAGGAAAACCGATATCAAAAATTTGGCATTAAATCAAAAATCAACGATAAATATCAACGGTCATTTTGTTTTTTTAAAGTTCACATATGGTACGCCACGGTAGAAAAAGCGAGCTACTACTTCTTCGAGTGCGCAAAATTTGAAAAATATTTATGGTTTCGCTACAATAAATAGTCAAAAATGACATTTTTCACACCTTGGGCAGGTGGTACATAGATAAAAATTTTTTTCTACGGAAATAAGTTTCTAGTAAAGATCTATGTACATATGAAATTTCATCCTTCTATTTTCAAGGGTGTAGAAGTTTTGCAAACATGCTTGCGGACGGACAGAGTAGAACTAATAAACACTTTTTTTTCAAAATTTTTTTAGAAAAGTACTAGTAGAATTAATAAAAACTAAAATGAAAATAGAATTAAATTCTTCAAAAAAATACTGTTCATATTTAATTAATATTTTTGTCCTAGATATTTCAAATAGTATTTGGAATGACTACATATATTGATTTTTAAAGAATTTCTGCCATAAATTATAGTTTAAAATATTTAAATTATTTTTCATAATTCATGCAGCTTTTCCACCGTATAGAGATTCACGAAAAGCTTACTATTTCGTAGATGATACTTGAATAATTTCTTGCAAGTCTAACTTTTTGATTAAATCGCTAAACTAAAGGTAATATTTTGGGCTCTATAAAATATTTAAAACATTTTAAATTTCACGTTTGCATAAATACTAATAGGTGCAGAGATACCTACATATGTACGTTATTATGTTACTAAAAATTTATTTGAAAGTAAATTGAAAATTTTTAATTTTAAAAATGAAATGAAAAGTAAATATATATTTATAATTTAAATCACGCCATTTTATTTAATAATATATTCAACATTCTATATCTCATTATAGTGCTTAAACAAAAATGTATGTAATTAAAGCATACTCGTATTTGTAATTATAATAAAATAAAATTGTTATATGGTACACCGTTCAGAAATAAACACGTCTTTTTAATTTGATTTGCCATAGGTTTTAAATAAACATTGTTTCTCAAATTTTATTTTGAAAATTATTTTAAATAAAGATTTGTTTTTTTTTTTTGTTGAAAAGCACTGCGATCTTCTTTTGTTTTCAAGTTTTTTACATATAGTTCTGTACTGAAAAATTCTGCTTTCAGCTATTATGTCAAATTATTCAAATTTTACAATAAATAAGGAATCAAAGGAATAATCAAAGTAACGAGTTAAAAAAAAAAATTAAAAAAATTTTCTCCTCGAACTGGCTTTGAATCATAGTGACCTACCGCTTTCTTGGCGGACGCTCTATCAACTGAGCTACAGAGGTACATGAAATTGCTGCATACAACCGTATAACTGAATCACACTGCAAGCAACCGTCTAATTGAATAGTTGTTTAGCTTTATTAATAATTTTTTATGTAAATAAATAATAGAAATTCCTTCATATAACTGCAGAACAGGTGGACGCCATTCTAACAATTTAAAATATCATGAATTTTATTTTTTAAAATTTACAAAGAAAAAATTTAATTTTTCTTTTAACATTAGATAACATTCACATTAAATAAATTTTTAATAATTTGCAACCTTTAATAAAACTTTAATTAATAATAGAAAATATTTTCTATTCAATTATAATGCTTATAAATTGTTTAAGTATTTCAAGTAACACACACATATACAATAAATAAACACATAAGTAAATATTTTAACCAATTATATAATTCCTCATTTACTTTTCAAATCAATACAATCAATTTACCATTGCAACCTACCTTTAATCCTTTTGGACTAAACATACGTATATTCAAATAAATTATTGAAACGCTGATTAATCATAAAATACCTACATGATGGTTATACAAATGAAATTATAAATGAAAACACAACATTTTGGTTTAAACATAATTATAAAAAATTCCACATTATTTTATTAAATAAATAAATACAATAAAAACTTGAAAAATTATACAATGTGTACAACTTGTATATACGAATAAAAATACAACATTTTTGTTCCACGAATTTTTGTAGATATATACTACAATATAAAAATTTAAAAAAAAAAATTAAAATTCCTATTTATTTAAACCATAAGCATTTATCTCACAATTTTTAATTATATTTATTTATAAATTTTTAAATCAAATATTATATTCCGAGTATACATAACATACAAAAAACAAAAATACTCACTCATATAATAAAAATTGTATGAAAAATACGCGAGTAACCAGTAAATTCCATTACTTCGATAATTATTACATATAAAAATAATGTACCTACTAATGTTGTTACCATTATGTATAATATTTATGTACATATATATTTTTACCTAAATATTCTATTATCATTATATTATTACGAGTACACTTTTATATTAAATTCTCAACACGTTCATGTATTTATTTTAATGATGTTTATAATGTTGATTATGATTATATAACGATAATGACAATCATTTACTGTATTGTATACAACATAATGAACAAAAATTTCAATTTTAATATAAAAAAAATAAATATATAAATATTATGTACAAATATACGTATATGCTGGACATTTATAACGACATACACAAAAATTACATAAATATATAAGTATGTATATAACATGTATAAAAATATATTGTATTATGACAACAAACAACAATAAATTTTCTTGCTTCTCTCTTTTTTTTTTATTTTTTATTTTGCTATATTTATTTCTGTTAAAATTCCCATGTGGACATCCAGTTGAGGCCATACATTGTAGAATTTGGTTCATTAGCTAATGGTCCTGTCATTCCATATGAAAGTGGTGAAAATAGCATAAAACTGTAAACTAAAATTGATAATAAAATACCCAAAATTGTATGCTGTAACCAACTTGGTAAACGTTCAGTTATATAATTGAACATCACACCTGCATAATATTATGAAAATATTAAAAAAATAAAAATATAAGTAATTTTTGTCTAAAAATTAGTAAAACATAATATACATATATAGATACTGTTATTTTTATGATTTAGTTCTAGATAATTATAGGATCTTTATGTTAAATTTATTCAAAAAAAAAAGCGGAAGTATTATTTTAAGGAAATGAAACAGCTGTTGATACTTTTATTAAATCATAATTTAAATTATAAATGTATAATTTCCACTTAAAAAAAATTACAAGGTAAATTATTAATAAAACTTAAATAGAGGTTACTTTTCTATACAATCACATTAATTTAGAAAAACAAATATATTTTGATTTTTATAGTTAAAAAATTTAGATTTATTGAAATATACGAGTATAAATTGGGCAGAATTTCAGTTAATGTGAATAAATATGAATTTTCAGTAGTAATTTAATAAGCCTGGTATATAAGAAAGCATGTGAGGTAGCAATTTTTAATAATGTAAAATTATTAAAAATTTTTAAGTAATAAAAAAAAATTGTATTTTTTACCAAATACCCGAAATAATTCCAATTAAGCTTTTTGAAAACTTGAATTAGGAAGCCGTAATGACATTTCTACTTTTTAGGATTGATGGCTGAAAACCTTTTGTGTAAGAAGATAGGATAGAAACTAAGTATATTCTTTGCTATTACACTTAACATTGCCTGCAAATTCTAGTTTCGAAATCAAATAAATATTACAATTTCAAATAAGTAGTTTACACAAATTATTTTATAACACATTTAACCTTTCAATAACAATATTATTTCCTAAAAAAAAAATTATTACAAAATTGTCTATCAACTTGTAATAGTTAAGCATTATTAACCTATGGTATATTCTTTAATCTCATTCCATAGGTTATAGTGAACCCGCATTTATAAAAATTTTAAATAATTTGGGTATCTCTAATAATGCAAACAATTAGATTTTTCATAATGAGAACATTAAAAATTTTAATAATTGATGGAAAAATAAAAATATTTTCTAGATTTATTTTAAATATACAAATATAATTTTCATATTATGCCATTTTTATGATTTAACTATATTATACGTAAATGTCTTTAATGATTTATTAAAAATAAAAAATATTATTTTTTTTTCTGCATAATAAATATGCGCATATAAATAATAAACTAAGCAATTATTATATATTTTAATGACATCGGACCTTACATTATTTTACATCTATAAATGCATATATTTTTATTGAAATTAGGCTATGTGGTTAATTGACCAAAGTTCTTCCTACTTAAAATTAAAAAAATAGCATATTTATTGGAAAAAAAAAATTATATTATGCAAAGAATCCCATGTTATTAAAAATTAAGTGTATATATGTATATATGCAACGAAAGCAAAAGCATATAAAACCAAAGATAAAGGATAATAACAAAATTAATTTTTTTTTTTTATTTTTATTGTTTGGTTTCTCCTTTTTGTTTTGTGTTTGAAATTTATTAAATTTAATGGAATTCTCTTTATTGATGTCAATGACTTAATATTCTGGCCAGTTTTAATATGATTGTAATAAATAATAAATATGTATACATACACATATACATATATTATAATAATTAACTCAATAAATTAAAATATATTGAAGGTAATTATTTTATCCCTTCTTTAATATTTTAATTTTGTGTTTTTTTAAACCATATTATATGGTTTTCCCCATATTATGTAAGTATATTATATATATATATATATTTTCATTTTGAACACAGATGAAAAACTTTATTTTATATAAAGGATAATTATTTAGAAGTAATAAAATTTTAATTACTAAAATGTAATTGAAAATTAAGGGGGCCCAAAATGAATTGATTGCAAGTAGTTAATAAAATATGTAATTAAACATTAAATATATTTTTTTCTTAAATTTTCAATAAATACCCCCTATAATTAGGCGAATAAAATGTTTTTACAAAACTTTAACTAAATCCTTTTTTCTAAAATTTATATATCTAATAAAAAATCTTATCGAATGAATACATGCATGAATATAGAATATAGAATTACAATCAGTTTCTTATTTCAAAATTAAAATTTTTACATTTTATGAATAATAAATACTTGTCATGTGACCACGCATACAGCAATTTTTTTTAATTAAACTTTGTTTGACGTTTAAAAGAAAAATAGATTTTACAAAGCCGTTGAAAACTGTCTTTTTGAAGTACTTCTCATTGTGTTAGAAAATTATGTGATATTAAACATTTTCAGGAGTTTTTTGTACTATATCATCATGCAGTCTAATTGTACAAATATTTGTTTGAAAAATAATCTTTGTAGTCAGATTCGGGCTTTCTATATATATTGCACCCTAATGCACTCTCTCGTAACGACAAATATTCCAATTTGATTTTAAGCTTTTTTATTCATATTATATCCGAAATTTTTTATGTGGATATACATACTATGTGGTATAAACGCAACACCGCATGATTAGAAGCTGCAAATATTTTGCGGTGAAAATTTTAATTGAATTTTTTTTTGAGTATGTGAAAAATAATAAGTAATTTATACCTTGTGGACATTTTTCCTAATTTAAATTTTTTTATTTATTAAAAAACAATAGTTTATGCAGTATAACTATTGCTTCTTAACTTGGATTATAATTTTAAACACATAACATTTCGACTTTAAAATAAATATTTAAGAAGCAATGAACTGTACTTAGTCAATTCTAAATGGGGAATAATACTTTATATTCTGATAAATATATTTATAAAATTTAGAAGCCAGCTTAGCTGAAGTTGTATTCACTCTTCATTTTAAAAGTTATTCATTTCTAAATTTATATAATACACAAGATGCATATAATATAAAATCTATATCTATATAACATATATGCGCTTATATAGATTTAAATTTAATAATAAAATTACAATTATTTCATTATATATAATATGATAAGTAACCTCCACATTATGTATTTATTGCACTCCAGTTGAAACTCTAAACGATTAATGATTGAATTACAAAATATATAATTGGCAACATGTCAAAATCTAAAAAATTCAAATTCATAATAGCGAAAAAACTAAATTAATATTTGAAAAAGAAATTAACTCTTCAAATTTAATTAGCTTATTTATATATATATAAATAATTTGAATTTTGTGCTGAAAACTGATTCTGCAATATAGAGAAAATTGAAAATCTGAAAACCATAAATTCAATTTTTTATACTTGGTTTACTTTATACTCGTAAGCCATATTTAAATCTTATGTATACAATTATTTTATACCCTATAACTAAATAAGATTTATGTACAACATTTTATTGTAAATTTCATTTTTTTCATTTTAATATTTTATGTAAATCATCAAAAAGCTAATTTTTATTTAAAATATGAATTTAATAAAATAAAATCTATTTTGCCACATATTATATAAATTAAATTATAGAGGGTTTCATTTTGCTGTCTCACCTCATTCCTATAAAAATTAAAATATGAAAAAAAAAATACGTATTATATAAGATCATTTTAAAAAAATACCCGCATTGTAATGCGATAAACGAAACAAGAAAAAGGATAATAATTTGGAACGCGCGCCTATAAATCTTATAAAAAAATAATAATGTTGATTTACTATGTAGATAGAATATGTCAAGACATTAAAGTCATATTAAAAGAAGCATACAACTGGGAATATTTTATATATTATGCAACGTAACAAATGATTTGAATTGTTGAAAAAAGTAAATTATATTTGATTAAATTTTTAATGATTTAATTCCGTCTTCTGAATTTAAGATATTTAATAAATATTTTATGGAAAAGAATACAATTTCCATAAATCAATCTTTGTTTATTAGCAGAATTTATTTATAGAATTTATATTTTCTGATTTTTTAAATTTATATTGTTAAAATGAATTGTAGTTTACCGGCAATTAAAAATTCGGGCATGTCAAAATAAAATCCGAACTTATCCGAGTTAACTGTTCAACTGATTGAAATTTTTAATCCCTGAGTTTCATAATGCAGATATACGATATCCAAGCATGATTCAGAAATTTATTTGTTCCGCAGGACTTCATTTTGTGGAATTAATATGTGTAAGTTGAATTGGGTTTGGAAACGACATACTGTAGTATGAAACTTAAGAAAGAGTTGTAATTCCAAGCAATTTGTAACACATTTCATTATAAATTTAATAATTTCATATTTTAACTGAAAAAAGTCCAATGCAATCCACGCAATTCACTCAATACTGAATTATTAGCAAAAAATTTTTAAATCGTACAATGCTAGTCCGAAGTTCTTGTATAACCATTTAATTTAAGATTTATTTTAAAAGCTGCAGCTCCTTATATTTTTTAAACGTTTTTAACATTAAAATTAAATAATAAAAATATTTTACTATGTTGAAGGATAAAAATAAAAAAAAAATAATTTTTTTTTGCTATATGCTATTTTATTTTTTAAAAAATGTATTACATCATTTTGAATAAATTCAATTTGGAACATTGAATATGCAGAAAAAAAACGAATATATTTTTTTTATTTTATTCTGGTTGGTTTCTCTTTTATTATGATATACAAGCGACACCATATCAGAGAAATGAATAAGTAAATGTACATTAGAAAATTAATAAGGATATTATCATATTATTTCTTTTTTTTTAAGGACTTTTATTTTTCTTTGATTCTTTCTTGTTTTTTTTTTTTTTTGCAATTTTATCTTGATTAAAATTATTATTTTTGTTTCACATACTTCATATTATTATATTCTGAGGTATACAATAGAAATATAAGATTTTATACAATTTAATAAAATGGAAAATCGATATTTTTAATGTTGCAGGTAAAAAATACTTAATATACATATATAAAAGTTGAATGACGGTATATATGAAAAAATTCCGGCTTATTATTTTAACAAAACCGGGATCGTAGTTCTACCAATTTTTAAACAATTCTTAGTGTTCAAATTTTAGTATTTTGTTGACTAAATTTAAA